ACACACACACACACACACACACACACACACACACACACACACACACATGTTACTATGTATAATAAAATCAAGTTTCAAAAGAAATTGAGACAAAAACTTTTACTTTTCGTTGGAGTTTGAGCGCGTCGACACGCGATGAAAGTATTTATTTATTTATTATTGATTTCAAAACATCCCATCTAACACCGTATGCATATTGTCCATAATTGATTGCGTGTGCACGCATCATTCCTCTCAGAGCATACACTTACATCGTTTTCGTCGAATAGCCTGAAGTGTGATCGACGATTGCTTCAATCGATTGCCAATAGAAGCTGGTCTCAAGGTCGTAAAAAGTGAATTGAATTCAAATGATTCATAGTGTCTCAATTTCAGTCCGTTTTTTTTTCTCTCGTCACCAAATATTATGCAGTTGTTGAGTGAAAATCGTTTATAATCATAAAATAATAATAATCGTTTGGTGAGAGGCGGAACTTGACTTTTGTCTTTCTTTTTGGGATTTTTCCATTAGTTGTGTAAATACTCTTTTTATGGCGCAATCGACTTATGTCCAAAACATACAATCATTTCAACATATCGCCTAACCATTTCACACTTTTGTATAAACATCATAATGCAACATTTTGTTTGAAATCAATTGACAAACATGTTTTTCTAGCCCTGACTAAAGCTCGGATCAATATTTCAACACAAAATCGAATGTTGACAGTGAAATATACGATTTTTAAACCCTTTGAAGAAAACATCCAATTCACGCCAAAGAATCAAGATTTTTGCAAATTGATCGATATAATCAATGCATTAAAATGCTGTGTTTTCTAAATGAAAATGTTTGCATAAATTGATGTTTTTTTTTATTCTGTCTGTGTTCCGAATCGTTTATCTTTCAGACTGAGAGAATTTCAGTAAGCCAGCATTTTGATCTCATAGTAAATCTCATTGCATTCACAGACAAATTTCTGCTGAAAATCGAGCTGAAAATTGGGTCATCACATTTAATTATTATTTGCTTTGAGTAAATTGTGAAATGGCTGCAAAATTGCATGGGAAAGTATTTAAAATTGAACTTGATGGAAGCGAAAAAAAGGCAATCTTAATTAGAAAAATGTCTAAAAAGGTTAATAACGTATAATTGAGTTAGATGAGTGCAAACGAAGGAAAGTTATTATGTCTGCTACCTTTTTTATCGTTATTGTTTTACATCACATTCGCGTTCCGCAATGGAAGAATCGACTTAATAGAAGAACATAGATATATGCGCACTTACAGAAAAAGAACCACATTTATTCGTTTTAATTATTAATAAAAATCGCTAAATAGAAACGTTGTAATTAATGGGAGTGACTCCATTTGTTAATTTACGGATTTGTAAACATTTGGCACAAGCAAAGTTCTCTTCATTCAAAACCGTTGTACAGTCGAACTCACTTCATTCGTGCGATGCGATTACTATGAAATTGGATTAGTTCAAATTTCTGTTGGTTGAATGAAAAAAAAATTGAAATCGAAAAACGATTTTCGAATTGGCTCTTTAAATCTGGAACATGTTAAAATTCAGTGTGCATCTGTTTGTGGCTACCAACTAACAGGTGGCTTAATATGTGCATGTATTTCGGCAAAACTAATGTTCAAAAAAACATTGCTTTGGCCGGTAGCGCACTTTGAAATGTGTGCACAAAATTTACAATGTGCCTACTTTTACCTTTTGCTATTCAGCGTTTGCGATACATTCATGTCAAACAGATTTGAAAACATATTATGCCTTATTGTGTGCTTTGTATTTCGACGAAAATGAATGGCAACGCGACAAAAATAAATTATCCATATTATCGAAAATGATCACAATCATTTATTTTGAGGGGGAGCGTTTTTCAGCTCTTTTTGTTTTTAATTAACAATGCGATAAATGTCTGAGATTTGTAACGAAGAAGAAAGTGTTCATTCATGTCAGAGACATGTGCTAAGTTTTTTTACACATATGTCGTCGTGTAAGAGTTTTCGATTTTTCGAAATCGATTCATTTTTGGCATTTTGGTCAAAGCAATACCGTTCCTGTATATATTTATTTGGTTCGTCGTTTTTCCATTGTTTTTAATTTGTAAAAGTTCAAATATTCGCCTTACCATTGGTGTTCTTAAGTAATCCATTGGTAAATCAAATAATCAAAGCGCATCTCCAAATTCAACGTTCAATTGAAATAAAATCTGTTTATGCTTCAAATATGCAAACAATTTTAAAATTCACACTAATTTTACACGCTAATAGCTGTTTTCTTTTCTATTTTTCGTTTCGCAAAAAAAAACGGTTATTTGTTGTCATGTAAACGTTTTGTTCGCAAATTGTTCCGTTGCGTATTAAATCGACGCAAATCTTTTTTTTCGCAAAATTTAATCAATTTATTCACTGTTTCACGCACAAATCAAGCGAATAGAAAAAAAATAATGATCGGCCGGAGCAACGATCGTAAGTTCACTGATTTCCAATCATTTTTTTTTTTGTTAATTTTTCAACTTGCGCACTTCAAATCAATTTTCTTTCTTTCACACATCGAAGCAATGGGATGGTGTTTTTTTTTAATTCTCGCTTTTGTGTTTCAATAAGTTTTTGCTTTTATTCGGTGCGATCTTGCTTACGCTCTTTTCTCTTCAATGATTGACAAACGAATGGTTTGGTTTTCAATTTGATGCGATAGTCATCCACTTACCTTTTTCCAAGCTCGTTCAATCGCACATTAAATATTTGCGCTTGTGAGTGTTTGTCGTGTGTTGTTGCTCAGTTTTTTTTCTTTTCATCGTTTTCGTCTCTTTTTTTCTTTCTTCAGCTATATGTATTGTTCGGTTTTATAGCATTTCTTCTTTCTCTTGGATGTGCGCGTGCGCGCATTCGTTAGTCTTTCCGAATGGTTTAAGCACTCATAATCGATCGAACTGTTTTCATACGTACACCGTATGTGTGACTGTGTGCATGTAAGTGTATAAATGTTCGAATGTGCTTTTACCATTACACTTTTCAGTTTCGGTATCGATTCATCGGTGCAACATTCTCATATTCCAAATCTTTCCGTTGCTTTAGCCATAGTCATTTCTTTCTCTTTCATTTTCTTCCATCATTCATGGTTACATTACACATCGATCGAATATGATGTGCTTGTGTTGTGTGTTTGTGTGTTTTTTTCGTTAAATCGAATTATTACATTACACCGATATCTTACCGTCTGTAGTACAACATATGTGCACTTTTTTATCTCTTTTTGTAAACGCACACCATGCTTAATGTATACTTCGCATTGAAGAAGAAAAAAAAACGGCAACAAAAGCAAATTTAAATGTAAAGAGAAAAAGTGTGGATGCCTTTCGTTTAGTAGGTCAGTGTGTTTTGCTGTGATGCTTCGCGCCACCGCGGAATACATGCTGCGCTTTTATTACCCGCTTCACTCTGTGCTGAAGTGATCACTCTTTTTCCATCTCTCTCTCTTCCTTTCTTCGCCTTATCGTCATTTGTGGGCGATTCAACTCTATTACAATTGCATTTTGATTTTACCATTCTCCTCGGTGCAAATGCAGTTGTTGCGCGCTAAGTGCAGAGTGAAAGAAACCATTCACAACTTTGATGGACAAAATGATATTGTTAATGTAAAAGAAATGTACTAAATCACAATATCTAGCGATCGCACACGATGGTCGAGTAAGTAACGAGACAAGTCAAGTGACTTTTTCATTACCAGCGAGTTTAAAATGCATTTTCGGATACACTTGTTGCTATTCTTCTGGAGAATGAGGAATTTTTTTCGTATTTTCTTAATTTAATATATGACCTTCAGCGGTAACATTCACCTCAATTTTTTGGAAGTAAATTTCTCTGTATTAAAATGCAAATAAAGAATGCGCAAATTTCATTTATTTATATATATTTAAAAATAATTTTCCAAGAATAAATCACAATTTAATCTATAATAATTTTAAAAAAATTATTCTTTTAGAAATGAGTTGCTAAATGTCTTTAAAATTAGAATCAAATGAAATGAATCTTTTTACGTGAACATTTAGAATAAGAAAAATTGACGTAATGTATATACATAAAATATTATGACAAAAAAAAAATTGAAATATATCAAATAAAATGGCAATTTCATCAAATTGGTCAAGCTGAAAAAAAGCTATTAATTACCAATTTAGATGGTGCTCTTTAAAACTTCAAAATCTAATACAGTGTCTAATTGTATACGGATAATAGTGTTTTAATGATCGAACAAAAAGTTAAAAAATAATTTGTGAAAAATTTAAACTGTACGATAAAGTACGTGTATTTAAGCCGTTGTTGTATCTGTTGAGTAGTTCTTTGTTTCTCTTAATCGCTTAAGTTTTGAGTGCGGTTGCAACGAAGTGAAAGAACCTGAATAAATGGTGAGCGAGTAGTAAATGAATAGGTGTACTTGTATGCCATAATTTCATGTTCCCATTGTGTGTTGATCATGTAATAAAGTTCATTCATCAAAAGAAGCCAAAGCGATAAGCAGGAGAGAAAAACAAATTGAAAGAAAGACGAGAATGAAAAAAAAAACACCACCATTGCGAAGAAAGTAGTCAATGTACAGTGCACACTAGAGACACACAGCGAAAATGAAAAACCATAATTGCCCATAAAATAGAGAATCTTTCTAATTATTACCAGTTTAAGGTGTGCGAGAGAGAAGACGACGACACGAAAAGAGAGAAGGACAGAAAGAGAGAGATAGTGAAATGTTGCTTTGTTAGAGAGTGTTTCAGCAAAACGGCAGACATGTATCAATTGCCAATAGAATGAACGATGAGCGTTGCCAATGTGTACAATCATGTGAATGATTTTCCATCTTTGTTATTGCACGTAAATATGTTTGTATTTTGTTTTTTCCTATCTTAAAAACCACACGAAAAAAGCTGTCTGGCTCAAGAACAAATGATCTATTTTACAATGAATTTATATAAACCGTTTTTTTTTTACTTCGCACTTGGCAACAGCTACCAGAAAACTCATTTTATTATGAGGTTAATCAATCATTTGCTTTTAATGTGCCAGAATATGTGCTCATTTTTCATTTGATGAATTGTTCTATTGTAATGATATTGCTTCGTTAATTTTTTCAATTCGATTGAGTTAATTGAGCTCAAGTCAAAATACCTGTTGAATTCGACCTGCTGAATTTGGAATAATACAAATCAAAGACACATCGAATATGTTGTTACGAATATGAGCTATTTCTGCCTTGCTTCTGTTATAGATTACAAAATCTAATTTTATTTTGACGAAGCCAGTTTCTTAACTGAATGAGATGTCACTTTCATTCACCACGGCAAGAATGGTGTAAGTGTTGCAAAATTATACGCGATTGCTTGTGATGGTTGTTAACATCGATCGCATCGATTGCAATACAGCCATATTCATTCAGTGTGCACGATATGAAGTTTTTTTTATGTTCGGTGAAAGTAGAACTTCATCGATCGCCGTTTAATTGCTATAGCTATCATAAGCAGCATAAAGACATAAAAAAAACATTTTCTTTTATTCGCTTCTGTTTTATTTCTAAAAAGTAACATTAACATTTGGAATTTTATTCCTGTCGAGATGTTGTTGTTTCAGTACGCAAAATCTTGTCATCATTTATTTCGGTTATTTTTTTTGGCACAGGCGGTATTTGTTCGGCGACTTCTTTAACGATTGCTTCAACTTTGTCGGGCAACAGGTACTCTAATGGTTCCAGAATTTTTTTCTTATTCAAATAGGACATTCCACTCTTCTGCAATGAAATGGCATTGATGTACAAGTGACTCGTAAGCAATGCAATTGGGAACACATCATGAATGCATCGTTGAATGTATGGTGTTAAATCATAGGCAAATGCACAGCAAAATTTGATAAAATTATCACGCTCCTTGGCACCTAGTGCTTGTTGCTCTTGTCGATAGAATTTTGAAATGTTATTTGCGACAACTTTCAAAGAATGCTCCAGCCGAATTGTAACCTCATTCACCAGAGCGATTGGGGCACAGTTACGAAATTCATTTAATGCACTCAAAATTCCATTGCAATACAATGCCAATGGTTGAAAATTTAACAATGTTTCGGGTGGCGATAAACTATATGGATCTGCTTTGCCAATTGCACTCAAAACATTGATCGATATTTTATTGATAAATGTATAGTTATCCATGTCTAATTCGAATTGGTCGGTCACTTTGGAAATGCGTGAATTGAAATTTTTCGCAATCACTTTTACGAAAATTGGTATCAATAGTGTTCGAAAATCAGCGCCGACGCGGCTGAACGAAAGACCAAAGTACATACATTGACCCAAAACTGCTTCAATTGATGTGAGTTCACCATTATTCAAATCTGATTCAAGTGTTGCCAGGAAATGATTAATTTTTGTATTAATCCATGCATGGAATATATTTCCAGACTCATTCGAATCGGTCGCATCAAGTAAACTGTCATCATCAGCAAATGTGGCTTTATATTGCGTTATAATGTTGAACAAATTGACACGGCTTAGTTCGATCGTTTTCATTAGATGATGTTGCGCTGAAATGGACGAATGATATACAAATTATTCGCTGCTTTAATTTGTGAAAATCGAATGTGATATAAGAACACTCACGATCATCCTTTGGAATGCTATTTAAAATTGAACAAAACCAACTGTCACGTGCCTGTAGAAATTTTAACTTTAGCTCCGGCAATGAGAATGCTTGCATTCGCCTCAAGTATCCGACGATTTGAAGGCACTTTGGATAGAAAATTATTGCTGATTAGATAGAAAAGGGCGACATTTCAAAGTTATTTACCTTTGGTAATTGTAAGTCCGTGCGTAATTGAGCTAACAATTGTTCTAACATTGTATGCCATGACCCTTCGATTGTTGTCACAATGTTCTGAATATGCGAAAAATAATAGAACTTACTTTTGTGTACTCAAAACGGAATTAAGGAACTTACATTAATGACTGGAATGTCACCGTGTTTTGCGCCCATCCGTTGAACATGAGCAGCTAGTTCAAGAGCTTCTTCGTATTTACCTTGATAAATACATGTGTCCATCAACTGGGGCAACTCCAAAATCTCCAATAATTGTGCATTCCGTCGCAGAGTCAACGAGTTGAGACGACGCGATGTTGCTATTTCACTAGATGTTTTAATGAACTTCTCACATTTCTCCGTTAAATTTGGCAATTTATCTATCAAATGATCCAATTGTTGTTCGGTGTCTTTGAACTCTGTATAGATACGTCGCGAACATTCTGATGTCTGAATGAATGTTTTATAGTTACTTATCGCTAAATCTTGTGTTTGCTCAACGACGGCTTTGTTATCTTCGGCCAAACGAGATTCTTCCTTTTTAATTTGATCGACTTTGTATGAACCAAGTTTGTAGATCTGGGCCAATAGCTCCGGATTTTCACGAAGATGTTCTACAGTGTAAAAAGAACCGAAAATGTAAATTATAACGAAACAGCAAAAATTGAATTTTCAAAGATCTCACCTGGAACACCGTTCGGAAAAATTAACTTTAGCAATTTCTCGTTTTCATAATCCATTCTTGTCTAAATAATTAAATTTTCGACGAAAGACTTAGTATTTTGTGATTACTTTTTTTGTTGACGTTTACACATTGATTCGTAATGTCACAGTCACACTGGAAGCGAATAATCTACGTAGTATTCATCATTACGTTCTTTTTAGACACAAACCAAAGTAGGCCGATTGCATAAAATGACAAGAGATGGCGTTGGAAATAGTCGATGCTTGAATACGCTTTATTGGAAATGAAAAACACTTGCGTTTGAAAATTGTCCGTGAAATCGATTCGCTGAACAAAAAGTTATGTTGTAAAAGAGAAAAAAATCGAAAATATGCTCAAAGTCCGTTAATTGAGCTCTCAATTAATTACACATTCCATGCAAAATTGGAAATTCTCATTATTTTCGTGCGAACAACTTTTCTCACTCTGAATTATTCTCCAAGTTGTGAAAAAAAAGTAATTACATGACACAAATTTATCCAAAAGGTGAATAAGAAAATGCAAATTCAAGATGTTAGATAAATAATTGAGTTTGCATCAGTGCATGTACTTGACATTTTCCTCGTATGACGATATCGTTGCTCAATGCACAAATACACAGTGACATACGTGATTTAGTATGTAGTTCTATATGTAGTGTGTTGAATGGTTTTCCATTTGAATGTGAAGTGTTCTTTTAATAATGTCAGTGTCCATTCGAAGCATTCTTTATTCAGCTAGCTCTCCACTTTTCGTCATCAAATTCACTCCCCATCTCCCATTGTCAAGTGGTTGATTCTTTTTTTTAGTTCTCTTTGCACTGAAATTACTCTGCATTTTTTTTTCATGTGTTCGGTTCATATTTTGCCATGGACACATTTATAATGAGAAAAAAATTCGTCGCACACGCTCTTTTCACAAATTCAATATTCCTTCCATGCATTTAAGTCATTTCACGAGACGATGTTGAATCCATTTGTAATGGTGCGAGATGGTCCATTTGGTTTGATGGTGGTACAATACTCATCTTTCCTCTCTTTCTGTATTCCATTTGGTCATTTCATCCATCGAAAATACATTAATGTACATATATTTTTTTTCGCAATAGTTTTTCGAATGGTAGTTGGTCACTTGTGTATATTTTATTTCCCATTCCATTAGTTTATTCCTTTTGTTGAATGGTGAGTATATGTGTTCTTCGAATGGCAACTTTTCATGTGGGTTGTTTCCCTCGCCGAGAAAAGGAATGAAGCGAACAAAAAAAATATAGATAAATTTGTGTGTATGACTGGTCAATATACTAGATGATATTCACACACATCCGACAGACCCAAGTGCCAAATCTGCGCAGCCCGAACGTTTCACGAAAGAATGGTCAAATAGCAAAACCAATTACAAGTGTATACGCTGAATGAGTGAGTGAGAAAGATGCTTTAACGATGTGTCGATAACAGCCAGCAATGACGATGGCATATTTTCTATCCTCGCTTCTCGTTCGCCTCCTTAACCGTGTGCACTTTTTTTTCATTTTTCTAACGGTGATTTTTTTTTCTTCTTTTTCTTTGCCTCGTCCACTGTTTATTTATTCAATATAAATATGTATGCGTCAAGTATTTGAAATTGTATTTTTGCTGTGGGTGTATATATGGAGAAAGAGAGATATTGTGCGCGCGCTTGAGTTGATTATGTGGATTCGAGCAGAGAATACGAATTAGAGAAAAAAATCTATATTTTTCTTGTTCACTTCTGCACATTTTTCTTTTGACATGGTCCATTCTCTGGTGTACACTTGGACGACGGCTTCATATATATGCATGTTGTGGCATATATACGCGCGCGACCAAACAAACGATTGTGTGTTTGTGTGCGAGTGAGAGTGAATGTGGTTTTAACTAGAAACTCTTTTGGGTATGAGATAAAATTGATGTTGCGTTATCACAGTGCTTTTTTTCATTCTTCCACATTTTTCGATTCTCATCTCACGTTCCGCATCCTTGCACCGTGCTCTCGCTCATTTTATTTTATTGTTCACATTCACAAGTGAGCGGCGTGCAATGTGCGACCCAAAACATACGACGTCGATCGGGTAGCGAAAATATTATCAGAGATGAGAAATGAACTGGAGATGCGTACAGCCACCACCATCGTTTCAATCCCCAGCTTCACACAAAGGATTGAGTGAAGTAGCCATTGCAAATAGATAGGTGTACAGTGGTTCATCGGTCAAACGATGGCTAGAAAATATAATAAAAGATTCGAATCGAACAATAAATCTGCACTGTTCTGTTGTATACATATAAAAGTGGGTCTATGAATTGCACCGTTTCGTTCATATTTCACACATATATGCGAAATAAGTAAATAAGTACTGTGTCGTGTGTTGAACTTATGTACATTTCAGACCTTGAAGTATTTGCCAATGGAAAAATAACATCCGTCGAATCAACAAATCCCCGCATTACCCAACAATAACGGTGATTCAACCAACAACTCTATATATGAAAAACAACAACATTTCAAATCGGTAGCTTTTTCAAATGAAGTGAAGGAAAATTGATGTTATTGTTTATTCTGAATGTTTTTTTTGTTTTGTTTTTTCCCTTTCGCTCTCTCCCTCTCACTCACTCCGTCCATCGTGTTTCTTTGTTTCGTTCTTTATACATCATTCGCACAATCTCTTTACGGTTAGTTTACTTAGTTAAATCCATTGTGTTCAACACTTTGTTTGCACGGCAAGAAAATCACTGAGTTTCCATGAAATCCGTGGATGCATCATTTTCAACACATGCATTGAATGCATAAAATCTACCATTGAACCAAACGTACACATTGAAAATGTTGAACGATGCATAGTGTTACGAAAAGATTGCAACTAAATAATAAATTCAAGTCGATTCAATTTGTCAAAAATTCAATTCAATGCATGCGAATAATTCAATTTTTCTTTCCTGAAATTCGCAAAAAAATGCCAGCGATAGAGAGAGAGAGATATCATGTAAATGGAAATATTCCCAAATTCCCATAGAATATAAGTTGGATATTTTTTTATTCGTAGCACAAAATGAAAATGGTCATAAATATCTGTGTAATTTTTAATGGAATGCTCGTTCATAAAATGTTGATTGCTTCACGCACAATATGAAGATAGAATAGCATGTAGAGAAAAAAAAATGTATTTCGGTCGAAGGTGAGTGACGACACCAAAGTCAAATATGGTTGAATGTACTTAAGCATGAAATTTACGGCTTTTTATATTATGTACACATATTTAAGCCCATAAAATTTAGATTTATGACACTCGATTGCTTCGATACACGTTGGGTCATGGGACTCCACCGACTCGACCAATACGAGCGAGAAAAAAGGGATGATTGCGCACATTGTACACAAACATTTTTTTTTCCATTGCTGCCTTCAACTTTCATATATTTATGAGAGGGTGTTTTATGGCCAGATATAATATTTTATCTTGTTTCATGCGAGGAATAACGGTATATTGGTAGGCGGTACCTTTCGGTATAATTTTGTTACAATATATTGCAAAGTGCTTCGATGACAATGATGATGATTTTCAATCCAAAATGGCCTTCTTCAGAGGCACAAAGATATTGGTCGGCAAGCAAAAATGGAAACGGTTTTTTTTTGAGTAAACAATCTTCGAAGTAAAATTACATGGAAAGAAATAAGAACAGTTCTGTGATGTTTTTGGATAAAAAAATTCCTTTAAAAATGGTGAACATTTAATTCTTTGAAATATCTAGAGAAAATCACGTGAAATGTATGGGGGAGCTGTCCATTTTCATAGATGGTTTTCAGAGTGCAAAACAGTGAAGTCAATTAAGAAATGTCTCTAAAAAAAAGCTTAATTTCCAAAATAATTGAATAGAAATAGCTTAAAATCACTTAAATTCTAGACAGTTGGCCAAAGTAAATATATTTACGTTTTTTTCGGAATGCCAATGCTACGCGTAAAATACTTGTATAAATAGGTTTGTTGAAATAATTTTTAGTTATAAATTGGCTGGTTCTCAACAGTCCGCTTTTTGAAGGGCATGGGGTAGGCTGGTCTTTCATGTGGATTGGTAACACAATTGTCGAGAGTTTACGGCATTAACATCTGCGACCAAATATGCCTTGGCATTTCGTATTTGTTTTCGAAGCTAACAGATTAATTCACAATTAAATTAAAAGCCTTGGTTTTGTTTTGTTCGATCCTTTTTCATTTTCTTGTTTCTTTTTCTGTCTGGAAAAAAGTCGATATTCATTTGAAAAAAAAAATGCGAAAAAAGAAACACATTGTTTTAAAAGCACAAATTCAGTAAATATTCGAAAATGTGTTCAATGCATAAATCAAGACAATTGTATTGTAACAACGGTGTACATAATCGCAATCGCCACACACATACACAAATAAACCGTATAAAATCACTTTTGAAAAATATTCGATATCATTTGTTGAGAATGCAATTCGGGCTTATTTGATACGAGCATGAACACATTGAACATGCACATAAAAGTCTCATTTTAATAAATGGCCACACAACAGTCAGTGGCTGTGATGTGAATCAGAGAATAAATATTAATGACATATATTTCAGAACATTACCGTTTCTACAGTTACATTGCAAACACAAACATATATACAAACTCTCAAATGGTTTCATATACACTTATTATTATTATTATACCATCGTCCAGTATAATTCTTCCTTTTTCATTTTGTGTCCAGTGTGTATGTTCGCTATTTTTGTTTTTCCGTTTGCATGCTTTGCAATAAATCAAATGCAAGAGAGGGTGGAAAGAAAATGACCATAAACAATAGACAAAAACCATTGTTGGTTCGTACAAATGACACGGTGTACAGGCACTCGTTTACTCATTTGCTTTTTCTCCCACCCCCCTCTCTCTCTCACTCATTCGACTTTTGTGGAGCGCGTGTTTTTACCATCGGAAATTATGTATGAGTTAAATTCTGACTGTATGCGAAAAATGTTTAGGAAAAATTTTAGGTCTCATTTGCCGTTAATTTATAATATGCTTTATGGAGTGAAGTGAATTGTCTGCAGTGGGTTTGAAGATAACAATGGCCTGTAATGCA